ATCATCAAAATTGAAAGAGCTAGAGGAGCAAGATAAAAAAAAACTCAGAAACTAGCAGAAGATAAGAAATAACTAAGATCAGAGCAGAACTGAAGGAAATAGAGACATAAAAAACTCTTTAAAAAATCAATAAATCCAGGAGCTGGTTTTTTGAAAAGACCAACAAAATAGACCACTAGTCAGGTTAATAAAAAAGAAAAGGAAGAAGAATCAAATAGATGCAATAAAAAATGAAAAATGCGATATCACCACCGATGCAACAGAAATACAAACTACCATCAGAGATGACCACAAACAACTCTATGCACATAAACCAGTAAAACTGGAAGAAATAGATAAATTCCTGGACACTTGCACCCTCCAAAGCCTAAACAAGGAAGAAGTTGAAACCTTGAACAGACCAATAACAAGGGCTGAAGTTGAGGCAGCAATTAATAGTCTACCAACCAAAAAAGTGCAGTCCAGATGGGTTCACAGCCGAATTCTACCAGACATACAAAGAGGAGCCGGTACCATTCCTTCTGAAACTATTCCAAACAATACAAAAAGAGGGAATCCTTTTCAAATCATTTTATGGGACCGACATCATCCTGATACCAAAACCCAGCAGAGACTCAACAAGAAAAGAAAACTTCAGGCCAATATCCACGATGGACATCAATGCAAAAATCCTCAATAAGATACTGGCAAACCGATTGCAACAGCACATCAAAAAGCTTATCCATCACGATCAAGTAGGCTTCATCCCAGGGATGCAAGGCTGGTTCAACATAGGCAAGTTTATAAATGTAATTCACCACATAAACAGAACAAACGACAAAAACCATATGATTATCTCAATAGATGAAGAGAAGGCCTTCAAAAAAATTCAACAGCCCTTTATGCTAAAAACTTAGTATCGATGGAATGTATCTCAAAATAATAAAAGCTATTGATGAAAAACCCACAGCCAATATCATACTGTATGGGCAAAAACCAGAAGCATTCCCTTTGAAATCTGGCACTAGACAAGGATGCCCTCTCTCACCACTCCTATTCAATACAGTATTGGAAGTTTTAGTCAGAGCAATTAGGAAAGAAAAAAAAATTAAAGGGTATGCAATTAGGAAAGGAGGAAGTCAAATTGTCTCTCTTTGTAGATGACGTGATTGTGTACTTAGAAGACCCTATCATCTCAGCCCAAATCTCCTTAAACTGATAAGCAACTTCAGCAAAGTCTCAGGATACAAAATCAATGTGCAAAAATCACAAGCATTTCTATACACCAATAACAGACTAACAGAGAGCCAAATCGAGAATGAAGTGCCATTCACAATTGCTACAAAGAGAATAAAATACCTAGAAATACACCTAACAAAGGATGTAAAGGATCTCTTCAAGAACTACAAACCACTGCTCAACCAAATAAGAGAGGACACAAACAGACGGAGAAGCATTCCATGCTCATGGATAGGAAGAATCAATATCGTGAAAATGGCCAATACTGCCCAAAGTAATTTATAGATTCAATGCTATCCCCATCAAGCTACTAATGACCTTCTTCACAGAACTGGAAAAAACCACCTTAAACTTCCTATGGAATCAAAAAAGAGCTTGCATAGCCAAGACAATCCTAAGCAAAGAGAACAAAGCTGGAGGTATCATGCTACCTGATTTCAAACTATACTACAAGGCTACAGTAATCAAAACAGCATGGTACTGGTACCAAAACAGAGATACAGAACAAAGGAACAGAACAGAGGCCTTGGAGGCAACACCACATATCTACAACCATCTGATCTTTGACAAACCTGACAAAAACAAGCAATGGGGAAAGGATTCCCTGTTTAATAAATGGTGTTGGGAAAACTAGCAGTGTGCAGAAAGCAGAAACTGGACCCCTTCCTGACACCTTACACTAAAATTAACTCCAGATGGATTAAAGACTTAAACATCAGACCCAACACCATAAAAACCCTAGAAGAAAACGCAGGCAAAACCATTCAGGACATAGGCATAGGCAAGGACTTCATGACTAAAACAACAAAAGCAGTGGCAGCAAAAGCCAAAATAGACAAATGGGATCTAATTAAACTGCAGAGCTTCTGCACAGCAAAAGAAACAGTCACTAGAGTGAACTAGCAACCAACAGGGGAAAAAATGTTTGCAATCTACCCATCTGAGACAGGGCTAATATCCAGAATCTACAAAGAACTAAAGCATATTTACAAGAAAAAAAAACAAACAAACCCATCCAAAAGCAGGCAAAGGATATGAACAGACGCTTTTCAAAAGAAGACATATATGAGTCCAACAAACATGAAAAAATGCTCATCGTCACTGATTATTAGAGAGATGCAAATCAAAACCACATTGAGATACCATCTCACGCTAGTTAGAATAGCGATCATTAAAAAATCTGGAGACAACAGATGCTGGAGAGGATGCGGAGAAATAGGAACACTTTTACACTGTTGATGGGAGTGTAAACTAGTTCAACCTTTGTGGAAGACAGTGTGGCGATTCCTCAAGGACCTAGAAATAGAAATTCCGTTTGACCAAGCAATCCCATTACTGGGTATATAAGCAAAGGATTATAAATTGTTCTATTATTAAGACACATGTGCATGTATGTTCATAGTGGCACTGTTTACAACAGCCAAGACCTGGATCCAACCCAAATGCCATCAACGATAGACTGGACAAGGAAAATGTGGCACATATACACCGTGGAATACTATGCAGCCATAAAAAACAATGAGTTTGTGTCCTTTGTAGGGACATGGATGAACCTGGAAATCCTCATTCTCCGCAAACTGATGCAAGAACAGGAAATAAAACACCACGTGTTCTCACTCATAGGTGGGTGTTGAACAATGAGAACACATGGACACAGGGAAGGGAGCAACACATACTGGGGTATGTTGGGGGGCAAGGGAAGCACATCGAGGGGCAGGGAGGAGGTCAGGGAGTGATAACATGGGGAGAAATGCCAGATGTAGGTGATGGAGGGATGGAGGCAGCAAACCACATGGCCATGTGTGTACCTATGCAACAATCCTGCATGATCTGCACATTTACCCCAGAACATAAAGTACAATTAAAAAGAAAAGAAAACTTAAAAAAAAAAGTTCCAGAGTTCCTTTGTTACCCATGGAAGCACGTGGAATGGTGCTAGACCAGGGCAACTGGACATGGAGCAGAGGGGTAACTGCATGGAACTGTCCAAGCCTCAGAGGGAGTCACACCACCAGCAAGAAAATGGGTGGGCCTAGGTGAGCCAAGGGGTTCCCAGGCTCTGATCCTGCTAAGGGAACTCACTAGAAGATCACCAACCACACCTACTATTTCTCAGTTGCATGAAGAACCCAGGGACCAGACCAGGCAAGATATCACAAAGCTGAAACTGGCTGGGACCCTGAGAGCAGAGCATGGATCTGAGGTCTTCAGCCCTATGACCATGTGATCATATGAGGGCCACCATACAGCCATCATGATTTGGGTAAGGAACAGGGCATAGAGCTGAAATGCCATGAGTTACCCAGAAGAAATTGTGTAAGCCAGAGGATTCTGAGACCCTGTCAAATAACTATACCTAGTTGAGGGTTGGTGTTAGGTAGGAAGTCTATGGAAGAAGAAGCTGTGTGTGGCATAACGGAGCATGCAAGGGGCCAGGACAAGCTTGGTCCTGATGAAGTCACCACCCCTGAAGCCTGTCTTAATCACTTACTTGCCAAATAAAATCTGGCTGCAGAGAGTGGAGCCTAGGCTTAAGGAATGGGGTAGGGGAGGATTGGAGAGGGACACTGAGAGGGAGAACAGGGAATTGTAGCAGAGATTGGGTTTACTGTTCAGGGCTGTCAATCAACACCTCACATATGCCTGTCTTAGCCTAAATCAATGAATAAATGAATGAAATCTGGGAAATGTCAATAAAGATTGCTGGGGCAGGGAGGTGGGGGGAGAGAGCAGCTTGGGAAGTCAGGCCTGTTAGATCCTAGTTCACCACCTGATAGGTTATAAATACTAAAACCATTACTCTCAAATTATTTTTACTACATTTTTCTGTTATCTGTGCTCGAGTTCATTTATGTCTCTGGCATCTACGGTCAGCCCTTTAGGGACACGGGACCTGAGTGGTCACACCAGGTCTGAACCCAGAAGGACATATGCTCGGTTTCATGCTCTGTCATCTTAGAATTGTTAATAAAGTTTTTATCCCACATTTTCATTTTGCACTGAGATTCATAAATTATGTAGCAGGCCCTGACTATAGCTGTATAATGGAATTAGTATCTAGTGGTAAAATTATATATATAATATATATAGTAAAACTGTGCATACCTTCCCCACTCAGTGTTCAGTGCCCTGGCATGGGCAGCTTGAACTAGCTCATGCTGGGTGTTGGTACATGCTGGGAATCAGGGTGGGAACCAGTTGTAAAGCATTTACCTGCACACCACTAGACAGGCCACAGGATAAAGGAATAATGACCGTACACCTCCCCCTATCTCTGCCCCTGGGAATTTTGGTAGAATTCCAGAATACAAAAGAAAGCCTTTTGCATAGTTATTTATTAGTTTGTGTTAAGGAAGAAAAACAATGACCTCAGCTTTGGCATTATTTTACAATATAAATTCAGATCCCGTGACTGAAAACTGTCTGCCTTAAAAGATGATGCTGGCCGGGTGCGGTGGCTCAAGCCTGTAATCCCAGCACTTTGGGAGGCCGAGGTGGGTGGATCACGAGGTCAAAAGATCGAGACCATCCTGGTCAACATGGTGAAACCCCGTCTCTACGAAAAATACAAAAAATTAGCTGGGCACGGTGGCGGGTGCCTGTAATCCCAGCTACTCAGGAGGCTGAGGCAGGAGAATTGCCTGAACCCAGGAGGCGGAGGTTGCCGTGAGCCGAGATCGCGCCATTGCACTCCAGCCTGGGTAACAAGAGCGAAATTACATCTCAAAAAAAAAAAAAAAAAAAAAAAAAAAGATGATGCTCCCCGAACCAAGCGTGCGCGCCTTGGTAACCGGCTAGAAATCCCGCAGGCGCGCCTCCCTCCTCTCTCCAGGCCTGACCTGCCCCTCCCCTCCTCCTTCCTCCTTCCCCCTTCCCGCAAGGCAGGAGCTTCGCAAGGGCTCAGAGACGGGGTGGGCTGCGCGACCCTGCGTCAGCTCCAGGCGAGAGAAAGCGCGTCCTCTCCCGCGTCCCTGGAAACCGCGGGCTTTCGGGGCTGCGCAGAGCCGTGGAATTCTGCTGGTTGGAGACGCGCTGGGCGCGGCCCTTTTACCTGGCCTTCGTGTTCTGCCTGGCCCTGGGGCTGCTCCAGGCCATTAAGCTCTACCTGAGGAGGCAGCGGCTGCTGCGGGACCTGCGCCCCTTCCCAACGCCGCCCACCCACTGGTTCTTTGGGCACCAGAAGGTAGATGGGAGGGAGGAGGCGGGAGGAGTGGGGAGGAAGGGGCGGAGGAGGATGTCGCAGAGGAGCCCGCCTGGCAGAGAGGTGGCTGCTTCCTTCACTCGGGCTTGACTGGCCCTGGCAGCCCGGCCTGTGGCTCTCAGCATCATTTTTCCTTGCTGTGGAGACTTGCTTTCCCGCAGTCCCACAGGAAAGGTCACTAAAGAGGAAGTTTTGGGTGCTGTGAGAGAGCTATTTCAAGAACCTGAATATGGAAGAAGAAAGGGAGGCGTAACTCAGGTCTGTCTCACATTGCTTCCACATGTGTTGCTTTAAAAATAGCATGTTATTCTAAACAATTTATTAATTGCAGAAAATATGCAAAATCAGTCACAATCGTTGGCATTCGTAGTCTTTTTTTTTTTTTTTTTGACATTGTTTCACTCTTGTTGCCCAGGCTGTAGTGCAATGGCTGCGATCTCGGCTCACTGCAACCTCCGCCCCCGGGTTCAAGCGATTCTCCTGCCTCAGCCTCCCAAGTAAAGGATTACAAGCACGCGCCACCACGCTGGGCTAATTTTGTGTTTTTAGTAGAGACGGGATTTCTCCATGTTGGTAGGCTGGTCTCGAACTCCAGACCTCAGGTGATCTGCCCTCCTCGGCCTCCCAAAGTGCTGGGATTACACATGCAAGCCACCGTGTCCATTTTAGTCCGTGTACCCTTAATCCATTTTAACTAGAGAAAATTTTCTTTTCCTAAGATTCTTGTGAGGTAAGGAGCAGCCCCAGCCAGCCACTCAAGAAATACTACTGATCAATGGAAATTTGTAAGGTAAAGGGAGACTGTTAGCTTTAGTCTCTCCCGTTTTTTAAATCCACTCCTACCCCTAATTGAGGTTTTTATTCATTCAGCCGACTCTGATTGGCTGTTGGTAATAGGTACTAAGATTACAAAGAGAAGATAAGTCCCTTCCCTGCACCTCCCAAGTCAGGTGCAGGCTTAGGCTACAGAGAGAAAATGAAAATTATAAGGCAATGGGTGCTTTACTAGAGGCCTAGAGACAAGGGAACGCTCTGAATAATGTTTACTAAATATATGTAGTACCCATTTTCTTTCTCCTTTTTTTTTTTTTTAAATATTTCAACCCCTTTTTCTTGTTAAAACATAAAATCTTTGTTGCTGTTTTTAGGCTAGTTACCAGAAATTATATGTATATATATAATTTTGTATATATATATATATATATATACACACACACACATACAAAAAGATTTTGTATATATATATTTGTATATATATGTACATATATATATACATATATACACATATATATGCACACGCACATATATATACATATATACATACACACATATATTTTTTTTATTGCATTTTAGGTTCTGGGGTACATGTAAAGAAGATGCAGGATTGTTGCATAGGTACACACATGGCAATGTGGTTTGCTGCCTCCATCCCCATCACCTATATCTGGCATTTCTTCCCATGTTATCCCTCCCCAACTCCCTACCCACCACTGTCCCTCCCCTAGTCCTCCCCCACAGACTTCAGTATGTGATGCTCCCCTCCCTGTGTCCATTTGTTCTCATTTGTTCAACACCCACCCATGAGTGAGAACATGCGGTGTTTGATTTTCTGTTCTTGTGTCAGTTTGCTGAGAATGATGGTTTCCAGATTCATCCATTTCCCTACAAGGGACACGAACTCATCAATTTTTATGGCTGCATAGTATTCCATGGTATATATGTGCCACATTTTCCCTGTCCAGTCTATCATTGATGGGCATTTGGGTTGGTTCCAAGTCTTTACTACTGTAAACAGTGCCGCAGTGAACATTCGTGTGCATTTGATCTTATAATAGAACAATTTATAATCCTTTGGTTATATACCCAGTAATGCGATTGCTGGGTCAAACGGAATTTCTATTTCTAGGTCCTTGAGGAATGGTCATACTTGTCTTCCACAATGGTTGAACTAACTTACACTCCCACCAACAGTGTGAAAGTGTTGCTTTTTCTCCACATCCTCTCCACCATCTGTTGTCTCCAGATTTTTTAATGATCACCATTCTAACTGGCGTGAGATGGTATCTCAATGTAGTTTTGATTTGCATTTCTCTAATGACCAGTGATGATGAGCATTTTTTCATATGTTTGTTGGCCTCATATATGTCTTCTTTTGAATAGCGTCTGTTCATATCCTTTGCCCACTTTTGGATGGGTTTGTTTTTTTCTTGTAAATCTGTTTTTTGTAGATTTTGGATATGAGTCTTTTGTCAGATGGGTAGGTTGCAAAAATTTGCTCCCATTCTGTTGGTTGCTGGTTCACTCTAATGATTGTTTCTTTTGCTGTGCAGAAGCTCTGCAATTTGATTAGGTCCCATTGGTCTACTTTGGCTTTTGTTGCCAATGCTTTCAGTGTTTTAGTCCTTGCCTATGCCTATGTCTTGAATGGTTTTGCCTAGGTTTTCTTCTATGATTTTTATGGTGTTGGGTCTGATGTTTAAGTCTTTAATCCATCTGGAGTTAATTTTAGTGTAAGGTGTCAGGAAGGGGTCCAGTTTCTGCTTTCTGCATACTGTTAGTCAGTTTTCCCAACACCATTTATTAAACAGGGAATCCATTCCCCATTGCTTGTTTTTGTCAGGTTTGTCAAAGATCAGATGGTTGTACATGTTGGTGTTGCCTCCAAGGCCTCTGTTCTGTTCCATTGGTCGGTAGCTCTGTTTTGGTACCAGTACCATGCTGTTTTGATTACTGTAGCCTTGTCGTATAGTTTGAAATTAGGTAGTGTGATGCCTCCAGCTTTGTTTTTTTTTTTTTTTTTGCTTAGAATTGACTTGGCTATGTGGGCTCTTTTTGGTTCCATAGGAAGTTTAAGGTGTTTTTTTCCAGTTCTGTGAAATCATTGGTAGCTTGATAGGGATAGTGTTGAATCTTTAAATTACTTTGGGCAGTATGGCCATTTTCACAATATTGATTCTTCCTATCCATGAGCACGGAATGTTTCTCCATCTGTTTGTGTCCTCTCTTATTTTGTTGAGCAGTGGTTTGTAGTTCTCCTTGAAGAGGTCCTTTACATCCTTTGTTAGTTGTATTTCTAGGAATTTTATTCTCTATGTAGCAATTGTGAATGGCAGTTCATTCTCGATTTGGCTCTCCATTAGTCTGTTATTGGCGTATAGGAATGCTTCTGATTTTTGCACATCGATTTTGTGTCCTGAGACTTTGCTGAAGTTGCTTATCAGTTTAAGGAGATTTGGGCTGAGATGATAGGGTCTTCTAAATGTACAATCACGTCTGCAAATAGAGACAATTTGACTTCCTCCTTTCCTAATTGAATACCCTTTATTTCTTTTTCTTGCCCAATTCCTCTGGCTAGAACTTCCAATACTATATTGAATAGGAGTGCTGAGAGAGGGCATCTTTGTCTAGTGCCAGATTTCAAAGGGAATGCTTCTGGTTTTTGCCCATACAGTATGATATTGGCTGTGGGTTTTTCATCAATAGCTTTTATTATTTTGAGATACATTCCATCGATACCTAGTTTATTGAGTGTTTTTAGTATAAAGGGCTGTTGAATTTTTTTGAAGGCCTTCTCTGCATCATTTGAGATAATCATGTGGTTTTTGTCTTTGTTTCTGCTTATGTGGTAGATTACGTTTATAGACTTGAGTATATTCAACCAGCCTTGCATACCTGGGATGAAGCCTACCTGATTGTGACGGATAAGCTTTTTGATGTGCTGTTGCGATTGGTTTGCCAGTATTTTATTGAAGATTTTTGCATCTATGTTCATCATGGATATTGGCCTGAAGTTTTCTTTTCTTGCTGAGTCTCTGCCAGGTTTTGGTATCATGATGATGTTGGTCTCATAAAATGATTTGAGAAGGATTCCCTCTTTTTGTATTGTTTGGAATAGTTTCAGAAGGAGTGGTACCAGCTCCTCTTTGTATGTCTGGTAGAATTTGGCTGTGAACCCATCTGGACCTGGGCTTTTTTTGGTTGGTAAGCTATTAATTGCTGCCTCAACTTCAGCCCTTGTTATTCGTCTATTCAGGGTTTCAACTTCTTCCTGGTTTGGGCTTGGGAGGGTGTGAGTGTCCAGGAATTTATCCATTTCTTCCAGTTTTACTGGTTTATGTGCATAGAGTTGTTTGTAGTAATCTCTGATGGTAGTTTATGTGTCTGTGGAATCTGTGGTGATATCCCCTTTATCATTTTTTATTGCATCTATTTGATTCTTCTTCCTTTTCTTTTTTATTAATCTGGCTAGTGGTCTATTTTGTTGATCTTTTCAAAAAACCAGCTCCTGGATTTATTGATTTTTTGAAGGGTTTTTCATGTCTCTATCTCCTTCAGTTATTTCTTGTTTTCTGATCTTAGTTATTTCTTGTCTTCTGCTAGCTTTTGAGTTTTTTTTTTATTTTGCTCCTCTAGCTCTTTCAATTTTGATGATAGGATGTCAATTTTAGATATTTTCTTGCTTCTCATGTGGGCATTTATTGCTATAAATTTTCCTCTAGACACTGCTTTAAATATGTCCCAGAGATTCTGGTACATTGTGTCTTCATTCTTGTTGGTTTGAAAGAACATCTTTATTTCTGCCTTCATTTCATTGTTTATCTAAACATTCAAGAGCCACTTGTTCAGTTTCCATGACGTTGTGCAGGTCTGAGTTAGTTTCTGAACTGAGTTCTAATTTGATTGCACCGTGGTCTGAGACTCTGTTACGATTTTCATTCTTTTGCATTTGCTGAGGAGTGATTTACTTCCAATTATGTGGTCAATTTTAGAGTAGGTGTGATGTGGTGCTGAGAAGAATGTATATTCTGTGGATTTGGGGTGGAGAGTTCTGTAGATGTCTATTAGGTTCGCTTGGTCCAGATCTGAGTTCAAGTCCTTGATATGCTTGTTAATTTTCTGTCTCATTGATCTGTCTAATACTGACAGTGGAGTGTTAAAGTCTCCAATTATTTCTGTGTGGGAGTCTAAGTCTCTTTGTAGGTCTTTAAGAACTTGCTTTATGGATCTAGGTGCTCCTATATTGGGTGTATATATATTTAGGATTGTTAGTCCTTCTTGTTGCATTGATCCTTTTACCATTATGTAATGCCCTTTTTGGTCTCTTTTCATCTTTGTTGGTTTAAAGTTTATTTCATCAGAGACTAGGATTGCAACTCCTGCTTTTTTTTTGCTCTCCATTTGCTTGGTAAATCTTCCTCCACCCCTTTATTTTGAGCCCTTGGTCTCCTTGCATGTGAGATGGGTTTCCTGGATACAGCACACCGATGGGTCTTGACTTTTTATCCAATATGCCAGTCTTTGTCTTTTGATTGGGGCATTTTGCCCATTTGCATTAATGCTCTAGGAAATTAATTGAAAAATACCCTTGTGCCTTCCCTTTCTGGATTGGACCCTTTCAGACATTTTTCTGTATCTGTGACCCAGACTATATATAAAGACATTTCTGAGCAGAACAGGTAAAAAGAAAGGGGCAAATATCTAGGACCTATTCTTCCTAGAAGTGAAATGCACAAAACCCGTAGACAAGATTCAAAACGAAGTTTAGTTTTGGGTCTTTAAGAGACACAGGAGCAAGTGTGGAGAGGTGACAGGTTTCCTACCAATACAGAAGGTGATTCTCATGTCCTCCCCAGTCTCTTGTCTTGTTCAGGACTGCATGGGCACGTTGAGGTTAGTGTAACCTAAAGCCCAGCTGGCATTACCAGGCTTGCCAGGAAAGGGTTCCCTTGGCCTCTCTGGGCTTTATGACTTCAGTGTCAGGAACACTTCCCACTCCTACCCCTGGTCTCAAGGATCAGTCTCAAGAGGGTGGAGAATCAGCAGTAAGTTCACTTCTGCTGGTTCAGTATGTAAGCCTGAATGCTAGATCATTAATTTACTCACCAAACCTCTCGGTTGTGATCCAAACTTTAGTTTTCCTCACGTGTTTCTCAACTACATAGTTTTCAGGTATGAGTCATCTACCTCCCCCACCCAATCCTTGTTTAAGGCTTTCATTGTGGATCATTTTATAGCATAATACTAAAATGTCCAGTTCTTTCCCTGTCAACTTTGTAAAATGAAGGTTTTTATATTCCAGACTTTCCTGTGCCATTGTATCCACCACTCCCAATAAAACCTAATAAAAGAAAAGAGCCTTGCCCCGACTATCTCCATGTTTCCAGTCCCCTGCTCTGATTTGTCTCATGTTCACCTGTTAAGGACAAGAACAGTAGAACACCTCCACTTTGGGGTTCACAAAAACACCAAGAGGCATTGGCACCTCAGTACCTGGTGTCTGCTGGCATCTGCTCTGATCCTTAATTTGCCTTCCATAAAGGATATATGTTGTCTCAGCTATGGTTAAGGAAACATTGCAACCCTCGGGCAAACTCTGTTTCTGTTGGAGGAAGTGTAAACGGGAAGAATCAGGGTTTGTGTACATGTCTGCCTCTTAGGGCTCGCTGTTCTCTGAAACTGAACCAAAACTAACACAGGTCTTTCCCCAGGCTGCCAAAGGCAGCAGGAAGTAAGCCCTGGGCTCTCTTTTGCTCACTATTTGTGGTTGGTGCAGGAAAATGCAGAAAAACTGTCACCAACGTGAACTGATAATGAATGCTCCCTCTAATGATGTCTTTTGTTTCCTCTGTTTGACTCTGCAGACCCCAAGTCCCAGTATGTACAGAAATTCTTATCTCCTCTTATTGGTATGTATGTGCAAATGAGAGTTATGACCCACTCTCATTCAAAGTCCCGTTTCATAGTAGAGCATGCCCAGGGAAATCAAATCTGAATTCAAAAGCATTAAGAGTATGAGGTGGAGCAACACTGAAAGTTATCTAGGGGAAAGATTCAAGGGGAGCTCTAAAGTCAACACAACACCACTTCCCAGGAAGCTTCTTCATCCATTTCTCTCCCCCAGAATTGTATTCTCAAGGTAGCAGATATGTGAATCTGCATGTGTGTGTTTTGGTGTGCACATCTGTACACGAGCATGGTGGTGGGAATCCCCAGCTAGAAAGTAATCATAAGGCTGCCAGATTTTTCTTCCTGTGAGCAATCACATGGTATCTGCTGCATGATTGTTTGTTCTCATCCTCAGGAGGACAACTTTGGTTCCCTTTTTTCTGTTATTGTTTAGCAATTTTAACCATGTTCTCTGGATAGTTCAAGGCCACTGAAAGGATGAGAGAGGCACAGGGGAAGAAATGGTGAGCTGATGTAGGGTCACGCCACATTTAGTAACTGTTAGTTTCCCACTTAGGAAATACATCATTTTTAGCTTCCAGAACCCAATACTGTAGTACTAGGAGTATGCATGGCAACAGGAGCAGCTGTTTTCACCTTTGAGGTAGAAATATTGGGAGGATATGGCCATCCCGCAGCAAGATACTGAGGAGGGGCTGATGGTCACACCTTTTTCTCATTTGACTTTTCATCCTTTTACTCTGTAGGTTCTCTGCATACTTCATCAAACTTCCTTCCTCTCCTCAATCTTCTTCCTCATTGTCCGTATGAAACAGCTTTAAGGCAAAACACACTAAAGCCCAAACAGACCACACCAAATAAACCTTGCATTTGCATGATGCTTGTCCCATTGTTACCCTTATGAGATCCCCCAGCCCACCCTGGGAGATTTCTTCAAGAGTTCTCAGGCTACTTTCAAGCTCCCCCAACTTACCCTGGAAGACTTTTTTTTTTAAGTTCTTGGGATACTTCTGGGCTCCCCTAACTCACCTGGGAGATTCTTTCAAGAGTTTCCAGGATACTTCCAAGCTCCCCCTAACTTACCTGGGAGATTTTTTTCAAGAGTTCTCAGGATACTTTCAGCTTAGCTTCTCCTTTCTCCATTACTCAGGTGACCCTTCATCTCAGGTTTGAGTCCCACGTCTGGGTGCCACTTACTGAGACCAGCTCAACCGTAGAAACCCCAACCCAGTTAGCACTGAAGAAATTAAGAAGCAGACACAAAGATAGAGTGCAAAGTGGGACTATCAGGGGTAACAGCCTTCCAAGCTGAGGGCCTCTGGGCTAACAGCATTCTGAGCTGAGAGCCTTGAGCAGACTCTGACCCACATATTTATTCTCTCTGAACAGGTGATTATTATTAACAGTCAGGAATTCTGTGTTTTCTCATAGAACAAAAATAAACTAGACAGGCAGCTGGTGCCTGCTTACTACTGATCAAAGACTAATTACAAAGCATCCTCCATGGGGGAGCCACAGGGACAGCGTCCCATATCCTGTGCTTAAAGAACCAGTTTAACATGGTGTATGTATGATACACACATACTGTTTACTGCTTTAGAACACCCTCAGAAGTTTTCCACTTGTGGGGAGGGTGGCCCAGTTTTTCTTGCTGTCACTCCTAGCAAACAATATAATCCATCATACACTCAGCAAGTCTGGCAATAGGTGAATGTGAAGCATTAACCTTGATAAGTATTTCCTCATAGTATGATTCACAGACCAGAGCTCAAGAAGGGACTATCAGGGGACAGAGTGGATGCTCTTGTCTAGTTTCTTGTGAGTTTATGTTCCTCATATAGTTTATGGATTGGTTTGGAGTGGAAAGGAAAGGAATTCATTTGCTGTGTTTCTAGTGTGAGCTAGGGAGTAGGTTGGCTACCTTATATATTCACTTTCAGTTAATCTACGCAGCAACACATGGAAATAGGTATTTAGTATCATAGTTCATTGTTGAGAAAACTAAACCTCAGGAAGGTTAAGTCACTTATTCAGTTACTACATAGGTAGTAACTGGGGATTTCAGGATTAGTGCTTTAATTTTAACAGTCTTTGAAACTTATTAGACTTTGAAACTCTTACAATATTAAATACATCCATCCCAGAAGTAAGCTTCTAAATTCACCTTGATCTATTAAGAGGCATTGTATTTTAATATGAGCACTACTTGGATATTCCACTATTTCATGACTGCCTGTGGGTCATGGTTACTCCATGCTGACTGTGCTCCTCATCTCATCTAATGAAATAGCATAAGGTTTTCTGCCTTTTCTTTCTCAAGGAAAAGGACTAGTGCTCTAGATGGACCCAAGAGATTCCAGAATCATCACCTACTAACTTCTGGATTCCATGTTAACATCCTGAAAGCATACATCAAGGTGATGGCTCATTCTGTGAAAACGATGCTAGTAAATGAAGGGGGAAAGTGCTCTGGTGCCTTGCAAAATGCTCCTGGCAATGGACAGTATTAGGTACATGTTTTCTGGACTACGAAAATAAAAAAAATCAGTTTCTAAAAACTTAACCAGTGTACAAGTACTCATTGAGCAATAGGTGCCTGTAAAATTTTGTTATGTTCTTTGGGTGATAATAGAAAGAAGATCTGGTCCTCTGTTGTAGATATATTTTGAGATTTTGTGGCAGTAAATCAAGTACCAAATGGTGACAGTAAGTGCTATAGGTGTGTTTCATGGAGGGCAGTTCTGTACAAACCTGCCCCAAAGTCTGAGGAAACTTTGAGAGGTTGAAGGAAAAGGCTGACAGTTTCTTATAAAGAAACATTTAGTAGAGGCTTTCAGGCAAAAACCATGGCTGTTTCATGCAGTGGTGAGACAAGATGTTGGATCCCTGAACCATTGCCTTCCAGACCCAGGAATTAGAGGGGCACACAGGCTTCAGAGGAAATTATTACTAATAAGAGTTTGCCCTAAGGACAACATTTATGGTAAGTACATGCTCTTACACAAGGAACAATAAATCAACTGGAAATCTCAGAGCATTCCCAGAACTAGAGTTAATTGGAAGTCAAGATGGCAGATTATCTTCCAAGATGGAGCTGCATTAACTCTACAAGGTCACAGTAAAGATGGCAAGAACAGCTATAACAGCTTCAGATTCAGAGGAAACTCAAATCAGTTTGGACTTAATCAGTCCTGTACTTCTCAAACTCCAAGGAGCACAAGTCAGATCATCTAAGTGATCCTCTTGAAGCCTCTTGTTGTTTAAGATGGGGGAAGCACCCTTACTTCTCCATGGCACTCTGGCATTCCAGCAACACTTTAAAGAATTTTTTCTCTTATAATTCTTAAGCCTCTCCTCTTCAATCCTTAGCCATTTTTTTCCTTATTACTTTATGTGATGATCTAAGAGTTGAAAAACTTGTTTTCAGAAATTTTCTTAGCAAATGTTTTACTGGTAGTTTAGCACCTTACTTTATACTAAGAATATATAACATATCTTTTTGGTTTCTCTGACTCTGGGACCTCAGCGCATCCTAAGGTAGAGAGTCTTTTTTTAACACTCTGTTACATACATCAGTGGCAAAATGGCTTTAATCTGAGGGTAATAATTACCAGGAACAAACAGAAAACAGAACAAAATTAAACGATATGATATCTGAGTCCCTTCCCTCCTCATCCTCACAGGGACCAGCTGGGTGAAATGTTGTACACCACAATGTGCATCAAGGAGACATTCTGATTGATTCCTGCAGTCCCATCCATTTCCAGAGATCTCAGCAAGCCGCTTACCTTCCCAGATGGATGCACATTGCCTGCAGGTCTTTACATTCTTTTCCTAAGCAGTTCCTAGAGGCTGTGGGATCTTGGGGACCTGAGTGACAAAGATTAGTGAGTCTCTTACACTTAGGGAATTCAAAAAGTAATGCTAACATGTGGCTGAGGTTTAATCACCTATGAGGTGCTCAGAGGATAATCCTTTGATCAGATGTGAATTTCACTGACTTTTCCAAAGGCACATAGTCAGTTGCAGCAAAGCTAAGTCCAGAATCCATGTGTCTGGAATCCCAGCCCAGGGTCTCTTCCATTGTGGGATGTGATTTCTAAGATAATCTTTGGCTGAGTTTGAGACCCAGTTGAAACTTCACGGAAAATGAGCACTATTATCTTTGTCTAAAAACCAAGGGAGGTCTTTGGCTTCGCCATCATATCACCCTTATTTAAATGTGTGACATTCAGTAGTTTATATAGAACCTTCAAACCCATTATCTCATTTTTCCTCTAGAATGTGATGTTAACAGACCTTTATACAATGATTTAGTTTACTAAACACTTTTAAATACTTCTGATGTGGCCAAAAATCCAGAGGGATCCCCAATGTATAGATGAGGTTAACTGATGTGAGCAGAGCTAGAACTTGTACAGACGCCCTGAGTCTAGAGCCTAGAGCTCTTCAGAACAACACAGGTTCCTGAGCAAGGCCTATAGGAAGCAGAGGGGTCATGTGAGACATATTTTCACTTATCGGATTCAATGTTCTATTACTTCATGTCTTAGGAAACAAGCCAACAGGATTGCTTGCAGCAAACACCTACAGCCTGTTACTGTAACTTTGCTGACAGACCCAGAACTAATTTACTAGAATTATTTCTGGAAACCAAATAATCCTCAAATTCTCTTTCCTTTATTTTGTACTTTGTTTATTCCCAAACCACATGGACCTTTGCCATTCTCCACTTTCCTTATATGAACAGCACCAATGGAAATGTATCATTGGATCTGCATGATGGAATCAAAGATATCTGCTTTTTTTTTCCAACATGGAGTCTTGCTGTGTCACCCAGGCTGTAGTGCAGTGGTGTGATCTCATCTCACTGCTACCTCTGCCTCCTGGGTTCAAGCAATTCTTCTGCCTCAGCCTCCCGAGTAGCTGACATGACAGGCATATGCCACCATGCCCTGGCTAGTTTTTATATTTTTAGTAGAGATTGGGTTTCACCATGTTGGCCAGGCTCGTCTTGAGCGCCTGACCTGGAGACCAGCCCACCTTGGCCTCTCAAAGTGCTGGGATTACAGGAATGAGCCACTCTGCCTGGCCAGTTCTGTGCTTTTATACACAAACTGTCTCCAGGAGGTGCTTAATATTCTATTAACAGATATTTAGGCCAGACACAATGAATGATGCCTTTTATCCCAATATTTTGTGAGACCAAGGTGGGAGGATTGCTTGAGGTTAGGAGTCTGAGACTAACTAGCCTGGGCAACATAGTGAGACCTTGTCTTTACAAACAAACAAAATAGCCAGGTGTGGTGTTGCATGCATGCATTCCTGCCTATTTGGAGGACTGAGGCAGGAGGATCACTTGAGTTCAGAAGTTCAAGGTTACTATGAGCTATGCTCACACTGCTCTCCAGCCTGAGTGACAGAGCCAGACCCTGACTCTAAACAAAAACAAAACCCAGATATTTGAGTAACTTTCAAACCTAGCAGAAAACATAAGCATGGTTTATCACTTTAATATGACACCAACAGCTACTTAAGACAGAATCATGAATTAAATAAACTGTTGTGTGGAAAGCTAAGGTGCCAACCCAAGCTGTGTCTTCATATGAGTTCCTCACTGGTGTCATCAGCTACAGCAGGCAGAGGATTGTCAGGCGCTAGCTCTTCCCTTCAAGAGAGTGTTGTTTAAGAGCAGTGTAACAGTAGCCCACAACTTGCTCTTTCTCCTGCAATCTCTTTTCCTTCCCTCCTTTCTCAGGGATCACTGTGGTTCTTAGTATTTGGGGTCTTCACCACAACCCTGCTGTCTGGAAAAACCCAAAGGTATGATTCTCTCTTCTACATAAATACTTCTGAGGACTAATGCCGTGCAAGTCACTTTTTGGTAGCTAAGCACACAAGTGGCTATATAATTAAGGTAAATGACCCAGAACAAACAAAAATAAACATAAAAGCCAAAAGAAGGGCAAAACAATTCTATGTTCTTGAAATATTCTTGACACGTATATCAGTGATTTCTTTTAAGTAAGCCACTAAGGTTTAAGATCTGTTACATGTAATAGGAAGCTGGAATATACGTCTCTGTAACAATTGGCCACATAATCATTTTGGCTTGGCTTCTAAATGGATACATATCCATTTCTACATAAATGTATCTCCATAGTGAAAATAATACCACTTGCCATAGTATTTTGGTTTCCCTGGGTATCAGACAGGTCAGTTGGGAGGCTATGTGGTCTGCAGCTCTGAAGGTACAATGCCCAGTGTAGTAGCCACGGGACACATATGGCTACTGAGCAAATGAAATGTGGCCAATTGGAAGTGAGTTGTGCCCTAAGTGTAAACTACGCATTGGAGTTTGAAGACATAGTGCCCTAAAAAATGTGAAACATTTGCTTTTGATTATTTTTATTGATTATAGGTTGGAATGAATTTTTTTTTGTTAAAAAAACTCTATTAAGATTAATTTCACCTTTTAAAAATGTGGCCACCAGGACATTTTAATTACACATGTAGTTCACATTATATTTCTATTGATCAGTGCTAGGTAGTAGGTGAGAAAATGTGTTCATGATGTTTTGGGCATGGTGGTGGGGTTGTCCTCTCATTTCAGGTCTTCGACCCCTTGAAGTTTTCTCAGGAGAATTCTGATCAGAGACACCCCTATGCCTACTTACCATTCTTAGCTGGATCAAGGTGAGAACAGTTTGAAGTTGCTGAAAGTACCCAAAGATGTTTACTTGAGAATAGTTTACTCCTTTCCACTCCTCAGCTATGTACATCCTTCCAAGGAACCATAGATCTCGGTGCCTATTTGAGCCCTAAAGGATTAGTTAGTTTTCCAAAGGATGGTCCTATTCTCTATCACATTCTGTTTGGCCATGCCTCAAAAGCAATCCCACAATGTAAGCTACTGCTCATAGGCTCAATACAGTCCACCTCCAAAGAAAGAAATAATTTCATGAGTAACTCCAACTGCTAAAGGGAACATGTTGGAGCCTCCCAGACTACATTCTCATAGTGTACAATTTTTAAGTCTAAAACATTTTTCCACCAAAAATTTCAATGGCATTTGGTGGAAAAATGTCGCTTTACTGTGTACTTCAGACTTCTTGTGCTGGTATTTTATCATAGTCAGAAGAAATATGATTTCTTCAAGTATCACTTTCTTTTCCTCTTGTCCGCAGGAACTGCATTGGGCAGCAGTTCGCCATGATTGAGTTAAAGGTGGCCATTGCCTTGATTCTGCTGCACTTCAGAGTGACTCCAGACCCCACCAGGCCTCCTACTTTCTCCAACCATTTTATCCTCAAACCCAAGAATGGGATGTATTTGCACCTGGAGAAACTCCCTGAATGTTGGATCTCAGGGTAGAATGATTAAATATACTTTGCTTTTAAGTTAAATTTACAGCTGCTGGTCCAAGCAGATCATAAGGGATCAATGTGTGGTGGGAGGATTGGAGGTTGGTGGCATAGGGATCTCTGTGAAGCTACACATGATCCAAAATTATTTCTAGGTACACAGTGTATCAGCTAGATCTGTTACTACATGACTTTTAGAGATTTTTAGATCTTTTCTGTTAGACTTTCACTACTATTAATGCTATATACCAGCAGACTTTCATATATTTTCTTTCATTTTAAAAAATAGTTTTCAGAACTATGCAATAAGTGCATGTATGCTCACTGTCAAAAATTCCCAACTAGAAAAGCATGTAGAATAAAAATTTTAAATCTCACTTCACATTCCATAGCCTACATTTCATGCCCTGACCAATCCCACTGCTTGGGATGGGGAGAGATAGCATGGGGAGAAATGCCAGATATAGGTGAAGGGGAGGAAGGCAGCAAATCACACTGCCATGTGTGAATCTATGCAACTATCTTGCATGTTCTTCACATGTACCCCAAAACCTAAAATGCAATAAAAAAACAAGCAATAAAAATATACCTACCCTGTTTGTACTCCATTACACAAAATATAAAAACTCTCAAAATACTCTGTTATAAAAAATATACAATGTCCTTTTTTACTGTTATAAAATATATACACTGTCTAGATGTACTGTCATAAAATATATCCAAATTCTATCTCTACTCTGTTATAAAAAATATACATTAAACTGATTGTACTCCATTATACAAAATATAAAAACTCAAAATTCTGTTTTCAAAAATATACAAAGTCCTTTTGTACTCTGTTATAAAATATATACATTGTCTATATGTACTCTCTTCTAAAACATATTCAAATTCTATTTGTACTTTGTTTTAAAAACTATACATACCTGTTTGTACTCCATTATACAAAATGTAAAAATGCTTAAAATACTGTTTTAAAAAATAAAAAAATAATAAAAATAAAAAATAGAAAAATAATAACGTGGTGTGCATTCTTTCGAACTTTTTAAAAAATACATTTTACATGGAGACATGTAGCAATGTATTCTTATAGATGTGATTATACCTATATTATTATTGATTTTTTTCACTTAACAAAAATTCAACTTATTCCTTATCATGGCTTTATAGTATTCTGTAATGTGAATGTACTAGAATTTAACTATTTTCCTTATTGGGTATTTATTTATAATTTTAAAAACATGTTTGTTGGCCATTTATGTTTATTTTTGTTTTGTTCTCTATGATTTTTCTGTACACTGTCTATGTTTGTTTTTCTATGGAATTGTCTTTTATTGATTCTTATGAGTTGTTTATATATTGTGGATAGTAAACCTTGGTTATGACTATTTTTTTAATTGAATTTTAGGTTTTGGGGTACATGTGCAGAACATGCAAGATAGTTGCATAGGTACACATGTGGCAGTGTGATTTACTACCTTCCTCTTCTTCACCCTCATCTGACATTTCTCCCCATGCTATCCCTCCCCAACTCCCCCACCACTGTCCCTCCCCTATTCCCCCCAACAGACCCCAGTGTGTAGTGTTCTCCCTGTGTCCATGTGTTCTCATTGTTCATCACCCTCCTGTGAGTGAGAACATGCGGGATTTCATTTTCTGTTCTTGTGTCAGTTTGCTGAGAATGATGTTCTCCAGATTCATCTATGTCCCTACAAAGGACACGAACTCATTGTTTTTGATCGCTGCATAATATTCCATGGTGTATATGTGCCACATTTTCCCAGTCCGGTCTATCATCGATGCGCATTTGGGTTGGTTCCACGTCTTTGCTATTGTAAACAGTGCTGCAATGAACATTCGTGTGCATGTGTCCTTATAGTAGAACGATTTATAGTCTTTTGGCTATATACCCAGTAATGGGATTGCTGGGTCAAATATAATTTCTATTTCTAGGTCCTTGAGGAATCGCCACACTGTCTTCCACAATGGTTGAACTAATTTATACTCCCACCAGCAGTGTAAAAGTGTTCCTATTTCTCCACATCCTCTCCAGCATCTGCTGTCTCCAGATTTTTTAATGATCGCCATTCTAACTGGCGTGAGATGGTATCTCAATGTAGTTTTGATTTGCATCTCTCTAATGACCAGTGATGATGAGCATTTTTTCATATGTTTGTTGGCCTCATATATATCTTCTTTTGTAAAGTGTCTGTTCATATCCTTTGCCCGTTTTTGAACGGGCTTGTTTGTTTTTTTCTTGTAAATCTGTTTTAGTTCTTTGTAAATTCTGGATATCAGCCCTTTGTCAGATGGGTAAACTGCAAAAATTTTTTCCCATTCTGTTGGTTGCCGATTCACTCTAATGACTTTCTTTTGACGTGCAGAAGCTGTGGAGTTTGATTAAGTCCCATTTGTCTATTTTGGCTTTTGTTGCCAATGCTTTTGGTGTTTTGGTCATGAAGTCCTTGCCTACTCCTATGTCCCGAATGGTCTTGCCTAGATTTTCTTCTAGGGTTTTTATGGTGCCAGGTCTTCTGTTTAAGTCTTTAATCCATCTGGAGTTAATTTTAGTGTAAGGTGTCAGAAAGGGGTCCAGTTTCTGCTTTCTGCACATGGCTAGCCAGTTTTCCCAACACCATTTATTAAACAGGGAATCCATTCCCCATTGCTTGTTTTTGTCAGGTTTATCCAAGATTGTATGGTGGTAGATATGTTGTGTTGCCTCCAATGCCTCTGTTCTGTTCCATTAGTCTATATCTCTGTTTTGGTACCAGTACCATGCTGTTTTGATTACTGTAGCCTTGTAGTATAGTTTGAAGTCCAGTAGTGTGATGCCTCCCACTGTGTTCTTTTTGCTTAGAATGGACTTGGCTATGTGGGATCTCTTTTGGTTCCATATGAAGTTTAAGGTGGTTTTTTTCCAGTTCTGTGAAGAAGGTCATTGGTAACTTGATGGGGATAGCATTGAATCTGTAAATTACTTTGGGCAGTATGGCCATTTCCATGGTATTGTTTCTTCCTAACCATAAACATGGAATGTTTCTCCATCTGTTTGTGTCCTCTCTTATTTCATTGAGCAGTGGTTTGTAGTTCTCCTTGAAGAGGTCCTTTACATTTCTTGTTAGTTGTATTCCTAGGTATTTCATTCTCTTTGTAGCAATTGTGAATGGCAGTTCATTCTTGATTTGGCTCTCTTTAAGTCTGCTATTGGTGTATAGGAATGCTTGTGATTTTTGCACATTGATTTTGTATCCTGAGACTTTGCTGAAGTTGTTTATCAGTTTCAGGAGTTTTTGGGCTGAGAGGATGGGGTCTTCTAGATATACTGTCATGTCATCTGCAAATAGAGACAATTTGGTTTCCTCCTTTCCTATTTTAATACACTTTATTTCTTTTTCTTGCCCGATTTCTCTGGGGTTGTAACTGTTCTTTTTGATTTTTTCCCTTTCTGTTACTTTTTATAAAAACTGTATTTATGATGTCTTTTACCATATAGAACCTTTTACATTTTCACGAAGTAAGATAATTATATTTTTTAATGTTTCTGGGTTTTGAGCATTGAATAAGAAAGCCTTTATTTGGAATATTATATATTCTATATATTCCCCTGGTGATAATCTTGCACATCCTAAAGGGAAATGTCTTCATGATTTCCTGATTCATCACTCCTTTGAGCCTAACAAGAAACTTAGACTTCTTTTTAATTGCAGGAGGAGTACTTTTAAGGGATTTCATTAGAGGTAAGATATAAGGTGAAATACATTTTAAGCAAGTTTTATATCCATTATATGGAGAATGAGTCAGTGGATTAGAGGGGGCAAGTGTGGGGAAGTGGGGAGACCAGTTAGGAAGTTATTGCAGTGTACAGAGGAGAGGTGGTGGTGGTTTGGCAAGGGTGAAGTTGAAGGGAAGTGAATTTGAGATGGATATGGGTGGCATTTGGTAGAGTAGAAAGGAGTCTTTAATTTATTGGGAATGAGGGGTTAAGGATTAGAGGAATCTAAGATTATGAGAACTCACTAATGATATCCTATTTGGTCATAGAAACAATTTTGACAATACTTGTGCCTGGTTTGCTCTCACCATGTATTCATTATTCCTTGCCTTGCTGGACATTTTGATTCTGATTAAATCCAATAGTAAAAGCTGTGTAGGCACCTTAGGCATCTAATAAAGAGAGAGGCTTAGTATAAGAAAGAAGGTAGCTTGTGAGATCAAGAATTCCCTTAACTACATAGAAGAGTCGCCATACTTGGTTTATTTATTTATTTTTTTGAGACGGAGTTTCGCTCTTGTTACCCAGGCTGGAGTGCAATGGCGCGATCTCAGCTCACCACAAGCTCCGCCTCCTGGGTTCAGCCAATTCTCCTGCCTCAGCCTCCTGATTAGCTGGGATTACAGGCATGCACCACCATGCCCAGCTAATTTTTTGTATTTTTAGTAGAGACGGGGTTTCACCATGTTCACCAGGATGGTCTCGATCTCTTGACCTCGTGATCCATCCACCTCGGCCTCCCAAAGTGCTGGGATTACAGGCTTGAGCCACTGTGCCCAGCCTGCTTTGTTTAATAAAACTCATATCCTGTCAAGAGTTTACGAGATGATAGAGAGGATTTAGTTCTTGAAGGTAGTGGCCTCAAGTGCCCCATAAAAAATATCTGGAAGGGTTTAAATAACTGATATAGATACTATTTTCCTGTTGCCTTCTCCATGAACATATACAGTATTGGGGAAGATCACTGTATTAGTTCATTTTCACACCACTATAAAGATAATACATGAGACTGGATTATTTATAAAGAAAAGAGGTTTAATGGACTCAGAGTTCTGCATGGCTTGGGAAGCCTCAGGAAACTTACAACCATGGCGGAAGGTAAAGCAGGAACGTCTCATATGGCAGTAGAGAACAGAGCTAGCATTTTACAAAGGAACTGTCAAAACACTTATAAAATTTTCAGGTCTCCTGGGAACTCACTCATTATAGCAAGCACAGCATGGAGGAAATCACCTTCATGATACAGTCACCTTCTCTCCACACATGGAGATTATAGGTCCTTCCCTTGACACATGGGGATTGTAATTTGAGATGAGATTTGGGTGGGGATACAAAGCCAAACCACATCAATCACCAATCGTTTGGGGCAGCATTCCCTGTCCACCAGTTTAATTTGTAACCTATGGTCAGTGCTTTAGCACAGAGTAAGTGTAAGTGGGAACCTACAGCCCCTATGGTCATGTGTGCTAGGTGCATTCTAGAACTTACAGGAGTAATTATATTTGTTTTGAGCCTTGCCATTTTCTTTATAAATTAACTGAGATGGCTTGCTGGAAATTTGAATGACTTGATTACTGAACTGTAAATGATGTGACACCCTTCCTGGTCATTACTATCCTCTATACTGTTTCTATTTTAAAGGACACATCTCAGTTCATGTTTAAATGATAGACTGTTTGTGGCAAAGATGACTCAACATCCCTTCAACAACCTTTCTCCACTCCTACAGAAATAGAAGTGTTAGCTGAGCACGTGGTTGCCAGGCACAGACCATATTTCCCAGGCTCTGTTTTCATGAGATGTGTCATGTGACTAGATTTTGAGCATAACTGGGCAGAAGTGATTTGTACAACATCCAACTAATATCTTCAAAAGGAAAAGTGCATGCCTTCCCTTTCCGTTTTATATCCTCCCCACTTTTGTAAAGGCAACTGTGGTGGCAGGAGCTAGAGCAGCTATCTTAGATCATTAACTGAAAGCCATGTGTTGAAAAAGGCAGAACAACAGGGTAGAAGGAGCCTAGGTGCCAGGGATGAACTTGTAGAACAAACTGCCTGACAACCTCTGGATCACCTAACTTCTCTCTTTTTTTATTATTATACTTTAAGTTCTGGGGTACATGTACAGTTCATGCAGGATTGTTACATGCATATACACATACCATGGTTGTTTGTTCCATCCATTCCCTCATCATCTACGTTAGG